GGAACCTGAAGAGTAGCAGCAGGAGATGTCTTTTTAGAATTTTTCCATGAGACTATTTCTGCTGTCTGGCCCATTGATTTTCAAAGAACCTTTTAAAAGTAGAGTTCTAAGCCTGCTTTGAAAACTGGAAAAGACATTTTCTGTAGATAGTGTGGGGCCTCCTTCTCTACTGTGTTTGTTAGAAATTACAGCAGTTAGACATTGATGAGATCAGAAAAGCAGTATGGTTCAGGGAGTACCATTCTCTTGAATCTCTGAGTGTTAGCAGATATGGCATGTTCATCTTTCAGACCTGAATTCAGTTCTGCAGTTAAAAAATAATGTAACAAAACCCAATCAGTTTTTTCTCCTTGAGACACATCAGTGCTGTTCCRAAAAAGGGAAAGGAGAGGCTCATGGCTTTTTGGCTTCAAAAGTCTGTGGAGCAACCTGACTKTGCTGTGGAATGGAATAGAATCTATTCTACTCAAAGCACAGTAATTTCTTTGTGCTTCCTGTAACTCTGTACTACCCCACATTATCCTTGAATGGGGCTATTTCTTAAATGCCATCCTTGTATTTATATTAATTGACAAATTTGAAAAGATTTCTTAGTGTAGTTCATTAGGAACCATTCACAGAGGAAGCTGGTAAAACAACTTGGCACAACTTGGCTAAATTGAGGGGGAAGTGTTCTTTTAATATGGATGTTTTGTTGAAATTAACATGAATCCATCCATTAAAAAAGTTTTTAATTCTGTTACACATGCCCCAGAAATTAATTTCTTGTTTAGTATTCTTGACTGGCTGTGCTGTAGTTCCTTTACGCATGCAAATTCAAAATGCATACAACTTAATTCCTCACTTGCTTCCAACCTCTAATTTATCACAATTGAATCATTGTTCTCGGGTTCACTGTGCAATTACTGTCTGCCTGCTTGAATAGATGCACCTTTCTCTTTCTAAAAGTCAGGCTGCTGAATTTTCTTCTCTGCAATCTAATTTGCTTGGAGGCAAGTGCATCATAGATAATCATGGAATGATGGTGGAAGAGACGTGCTCAATTCCTAATTTATCAGTCTTCGTGTGCTTGATGAGTTCTCATATTACTTTGGTTACTCTGCTTATGTTACTGTGTCCTTTTTTCTAGGAATGAATCCCTAGATTGGATGATCAGTAAGATAAAAGCCTTTCTTCTGTGCCTTATGAGCTGGTTGATAGAGCAGCAGACCCCAGAACATTATTCTGTGACTGCTATTTACTTGAATATCAAGTGCTTACCCTCTCCWGTTTTCTGCTGTGACTTACCAAGAGAGTTTTTATTATCTTCAACCCAAACTCCTTTATTTTCAAAGGCTGTTTTCCTGAAAGCTTTCAGTCAGAAAATAGGATCTGGAAACATATCATCTATAATAAATCTCCTCTCTTATATTGTGTAGGTGCTTATGTGATTTGTGAACTTCTGAGCTCAAGGGTGAGGAGATCTGGTTATGTTACCTAAAATACATGTTGCAGTATTTTCATAGCACTTCTAGGCTATACAGGAAAGCAAACAATTTCTGAAACCTTTATTTCCAAATACTATGGAGAATGTGAAAGAGCAATTGAATTACTATGTGCCTCAGAGAAAGTAAAAGGAAAATTGCTTTTGTAAAGGAATCTCTAGTATAATTTTGTCACTTTGCTGTTTGTACCTGCCACTTTGGCCCCATATATTAATCCTAGCAGATAACTATGTAATTGCCATACTTTCTATAATAGGAGAGGAAATGAAATGAAAACAATTTATGGAAAAGAAATGGAAATACAGTATTATAAATAGTGAAGCACAGAAGAGTAAGAAATAGTAGTGAAATATGACGCAGTTTGATAAATTAAAGCCGATTTTAATAAAACCAGAAAAAAATAAAATTAAGGTTTTCGTGATAACCTTTATACCAGAAATGGGTCTTGACTGTTAATTTCTTACAAATACTGTATAATTAATTCGTTAATAATTGTCTATTTAGGGGAGGTAGTATGGCAATGTGTCATTTTCCTAGTAACAATTGCATATTTAATTTTATTTGTGATTCTTATAACGGGAAAGGTACTGTCTGTAATGTATAACATTGCTTGAATGTGTGGCAAAAAGCAGTATTTTTAGAGTAGCAGGATGAAATGCATGCTTTTAACTTTTTAGCTCAGCAATTAATATCACAATGGTCATTACAAGATAAAAGAGCAACATCAGAATTGATGTTGAATTAATGAGAATTCAGTATTTAATCTGGAAATAATACTGAATTTCTGTGAGAGCTGAGTTTTGAAGTCAAACTACAACACTTAAAGCAGTCGATCTCTTGGTGAAAATAATTTTATATAAATATGTCTTCCTTTGGCAGATGCATACTCGTGTCTGGTCTTACAATACTTGATACATGTGTTTCAATACCTGTGGAGGAAGATGTGTATATATTTCAGCCTATGTGGTTTTTTATGACCTGTTTCATCTGTCAAAGTAATTTGTTCTGCACTAAATATGGTCTTTATTCCATGCAAATCTGGGAATTTATTCTATAAATGTTTATTGTAAAGGTATTTATTAAAAGCTATGTTTAAAGTTTGTCAGCTTTTGGTAATTAAAATGCAGTTTTCTAAATAGTTCTAAGACACTTCATTTATTAAAAAATGGAAAAAGTACTTTGAAATTCTTAAAACTAGGACTTCTTAAATTATGTCRTCACTTGTTACCACTTTCGTCTTCAGCCTTAGACTGGTTTTGAAAACAAATCCTTTTTTTTTGAGTTCATGTATAGATGCCACTCTATACATGATATATACACTCTATACATGAATATATTTGGGATCCTCTTCTGGTAGTGACTGTAATTCATGTTCCTTTTTGTCAAAGAAGGCACGATCCACAAGGTCACTCACTTGAAAGAGGAAGTTTTTATTGGCCCTRGTTCCTAGGATATGGAAGAAGTGRAGGAAAAAAAGACTAGAAAGGCCCTTATTTCCACACAAGTTATTCTTGACACACTTGACTCTCTCAGTTGAAATGAAAACCCTGAAATRCCCATCACCCTGGGGAATCTGCTGGTCTGACATCTGAGTYTTGGGCAGAGATGCAAACTCAGCAGCAAAGGACTCACCCCTTGGCAACCTCTCCTTTTGTCAGTGAAGGTGGCTGCCTGTATGGAGCACTCTCATTCAGCTGCTGAGTGGAGATTCCTTTCAAGCTTTGGACAGAGTGCGGTGGAACCCTCCCAGGAGCCACATTGTTTTCACTTACCGTGATTAAACCGTGGAAATACACAGGAATGGGGAAGCACTTAAGAGTCTCCCTAAGGAAATGCAGGCATAATGGTGGCTTTGCAGTGATCCTCTGATGGGATTTGAAGCATTTTTCCCTTGTAATGAAATACAGTAGRCTCTCCATTTGTGCATATAACACGGTTAACATCTCTGTCACTTTGAATGGTGCTTGTGACCTGGGGCAGACACATTCTGTTACAGCTGAGCCTTTCACCCTAATGCCTGGTGAAAACTGATGAAGCTGGGTGGGAGCAGGGGAGGAGAAGCACTGGACTGAAGTGGGGCCTGAGGGGGGAAAGTGCTCCCCTAAATGCTTGTTTAACTCTTGGTCTTTTTCCTCAAAACCTGAAGCTGTAATTAAGGGTTTACATTAATTGGCAGTAAAATGAGTGAATTTCCTCAGTCAAAACTGCCTTGCWCATGTGGCTCTAATTCCAGAAAGCATTGCAACAATGCCATTACCTGGGCAAAAAAGARCTGATGGAAAGTAAAACCACGGAGAGAAATGTGTTATTTGGTAAATTGTCCTTTGGGCGTGTCARTGGTCTCATCCACAAGAGTGGATCACTTGTTCCATCTCACATAATGGAGGRAAATGTGCAGCTTTAACAGTGTGCTATTTCCAATTGCACAGCTTTTTTTTTAATGAAGCATGAACTCAAAAGTGCTGTAGAACTTGTTTTACTTTACCGTTCTTGTGAAAATTAAGTTTTTGTACTTATTCTCTAAAACATGACAGAAAATATCTGAAGCATRTACCACCTGCTTTTCCTTTCATCTTGATTCATTCGTTAGCTTCCTCCTATTAAAAGCCCTCCAAGACATAATTAACCCTTTTTTTGATACTGTGAAACTTGAAACAATCATTAAAACTCATTAAAGCAGAGAAACATACTTTCAAAAGCAATTTATTAACAAAATTTCYCTGATTTTTTTTAACTTGTGAATAAGGTAGAATACTAAGGGTATGGCCATAAAGGTTTCAGTTTTTACTGGCAAGTCAAGTAATTAATGATAATTAGTTGCTTTGCATTGTAGAACTGTGCATCGTGATGGAAGAGCCTTCGATAAAATAATTTTCTATAATGGAACATTCTCTTCTGAGTATGAATTATGTAATGATTCTGTCAGCAAGTCCTTTTTGTCCAGTAAGAAGAAAATATAATTGAAGATAAAAATACATTACCCAAAGTCTCACTTTTTTCTCACTCTTCATATTCTAAGCTCAATAGGTATATTGTACAGCCACAGGATACTTTATAATCCAGTTTTTACTGAGGAAGAATATTCAGGAAAATAGTTTTGATATTTAGCATTCTGTCACAAAACTGATCATACGGGATCTTTACTGGTTGCTAAACTTCTATATGATAGAGACAAAAATTTGGAAACAAAATAATCTAAAGATAAAATATATTTGCATACATCCCTGAATAGAGGTAGGGCAGCATTATGAATGGGAAAGTATAACATGAATGGAAAACAATGTAGACATTTCAAGAAATAACARGAGTTATAAAAACATCTTACTGATTTATTCCTTATTAATAAAATGCCTTAATTCTAATCAACCATGCAATTATTTCTTATAATTTTTTACAGCTTAGTTGGTATGACTTCAGAATGCAAAGCTTTCTCAACTACAATGATTTGCTGCAGCTAATTATTATTGAAAAAAAGTCAGTATTCTTTGTAAAGGTGTCCTTATCCTTTCTTTTAAGGTGTGGGATGCTGTAGATACAGGCTGCTGTTTAAAAACCTACTCCTGTCACTCCTGTGCTGTTCGAGCTGCCCGGTGGTCATCCTGTGGAAGAAGGATCCTCAGTGGGGGCTTTGATTCCACACTGCATTTAACAGATGTAGAAACAGGTAAAGGCCATGAAGAGTGCATAATAACAATTTCTATATTCTGTATCAATAACTTGGGTTCTTGCTAGCCTTATCCTTTCTTCTAAAATGTAAATGAATCTGTACATGAAAGTTAGAATTTTTGAAACGTGACCTTATTTTAAAAAGGCATCTTGGCAATTWAGAGTAGTTGGAGAAATTTGAGAAAACTGAAATATCATATAGTTCACAATCACATGTAATTTCTGTTATATGTATCAGATACTAYGCAAATGAATAGAATGAAATGTGTATTTTTTTTATGCTCTGTCATGGTCTTTCACTAAAGTGCTTGAACAGCCTCTTAAAGCTGACTTCAGTGACATTTATACATGTATTTAATTTAAACACAGGCTTGTATCTTGTTCTCTGTTGGGTTGAAGTTTGTGCCCAAAGTTAATTAGGTGATTTTTCTCTTCTTTTTGAATAGGACCTTAATTAGGTGTATAGAGACTTAAATTCTGGTATGAAACCTTGAGACTGAACTTGTGTTGCTTTGATGCATTTTTGAATTTGATTTGGGATTTGGTTGTTGTAACTTTAACAACTAATTTCCTGGATGCTGTGTCTCCTCATGTCTCCTTCACAAACTAAAGTGCTTCTGTCGGTTATATTCCTTCTCTCCTTAATATATGTTACCCTCATCCAGTAGCATTCACTGGGGCTGTGCATTATAGGACATTTCTGTGAGTAAATGAATTTAGATCCAGAATGGGACCTTGTCAAGGGAAGAGATGCAATTTTATATTTTCCATTGAGTTTATTTTTAAGTGTTTAACTCCTGCAAAGGTGCAATATTTTTTGTAAGAGTACAATGGAAATCCTTACAAAAATTACAAGCAGATTTTGTCTAGGAGGGTTTTCTCTTGCATAAAAGCAAGAAATAYATTGTATGTGAATATCTGGAAAGCAGAAGCCCTGTTCAGATGAACTGGGATAGCAGCCAAGAAAATTTTTAAATATTGTTCACATGAGAAAAAGATTCTTTTCCATGCTCTAAGAATTTATTTTTCTTAACAATAGTCTACCAGAAGTATTTAAATTCAGTGATGGCTGGAATGGAGCTGTTGCAGCGTGGGAATGTAAAATACAAAATACTGATGTTTGGAGAATATTCAGCTTTTTTAATGGGGAAAGGAGCTTCATATACTTGGTGTGGTAGTACTTGAGATTAATATACCAAGTCATTAATATGTTAGACTTCTACAGCAACCTTTCTCGTCTCACATATAACTGAACCTTACTACCCCAAGTGGATTTACTTTTGTCTGTRATGATTAAAAATTCTAAACAGAATGACTATCTTCTTAATGGGATTTATAGCAGTTGAATAGATTTTGCATGTCTGAGTTATTGAAGGGACTAGTYTGGGAAAAATACCATAAAATCACAGCACAAATTCCAAAGATACGTAGTAGAAATAATATATTTTATTTTCTATCTGTTTGRCTTAACTATCCAGTAATGGGATAGAAGTCTGGATTAAGTTGCTTAGAATGGTTCATTTATACTTCTCTAGAAAGTGACAATAGTAGAATATATTTACTGAGTTTCAAAGMAAATAAGTATGAATGGTTCTTTCCTTACTGACTCATGAGTTATATAGTGTTTCTAGCTACTTAAATAAATCGTGTGTTTAAAATGAATGCTTAGATGTTTGGAAATACCAGATATTCATTATTGCCTTATTTCAAGAACACAGAATTCCTTATAGTTCCTCTGAACTCCAGTTGTGTTTGGACCTGACTTTAATGCCTCATTTGCAAAAGTGTAATAAGAGTGATCAGAATTTTAGTCTGATTTCCTATGTGTGCAAGCCAGTTTCTGAATTCCTTGCCTGTTGTAAAGTTACTCTTCTTTTCATACATTTCAGTCAGTGCTGTTCAGAGAAACGGGGCAAGCAGTTTGCCTCTGGAATCCAAATCAATTTGATATAAAAAGCCTCATTTCCATTTGAAAAACACCAAGGCATCTATAAGATTTTGATTTACATTAGTTCACTGAATCATTCATTCCTCCTCACTCTTCATCAGARCTGAGATGATTTTGTCTTTGATTAACTTCAGATAGATGTTAGAACTCTTCCTTCACAGAGGACTTTCATATACTTTTTTGGACTTCAGTCTTAATTACTTTCCATTGCTAGTGTGAACTAACTGCCAGTGTGTTTAAAAGTAGTAAATGCATGCCAGTGGGATTTTATAAATAATAAGGCTCTCTTTCAGGCTCAATGCTCTTGTCTCTTAAATATTTTGTTCTGGTTCAACATTTGTCCAGTTGTTTCCTGAAATATAATATTTCTTGTTTTTGTTTTCAGTAGAGGTTTTATATGTTACATATGTGTTATGAAAATTGTTATGTGTCCTTCACCAGAAGAAACCTAATGGTCTGAATAGAAGGAGTTTAAAAGCTAAAAAAAGCTTGCAAATAGAGCTTAGTAAATGCATGGTATTGAGCTGCTGGGTTGTGGGGGATTTTTTGCCATTTTCTGTGGGTTTTCTGTTAGGAACATAATTTCTGCCTCTTAAAGCAAAATTGTAGTCTGGCTAATTGTTCTGGGCCTGATGAAGGCTAGTCATATTTCTCAAAGGAACGTGTCAGCATTTTTTAAATAAACAGTACTAAAATAAATTCTCCAGGAAATTTTCTTTCCGAGATTAGACTTTAGTTTGGGTATCCCTTGTCTTAATATATTGCATTTTCTGAAGTGATTTTTTAATCTCTATGATCTGAAAAACATCAGAATAGAAGCAAACACTGAAATCCAATTAATCTCGAAGCAGAATTTTTGTTGTTGGAGAGAAATTCTGTTGTAAGACTAGAAGACACATCCATGAAATCTTATCCTTCAGATTTACACCATCAAACCTCTTGGCCTTGTCACATATATATAATTAAAGTTCTTATATGTAAGAAGACCTAAGATACTGCAAACATTAAAAATGGATTGATAGGAATCTTAGGAAGTTCAACACTGACATGCATCTGGAATGGAGTAGTCCTGTGCAACAGACAGGCTGGTGCTAAACTGATTAGAAAGCAGCTTTGCAGAAAAATACCTGGAAGTCCTGGTGCTGAATATGAATCAGTGTCCTCTTGCAGCAAAGAAAGTCAGCTTCATTCCAGGCCAGATTAGGAAGAGTTTATGTAGCACACAGCAAAAATGATACCAGGCTCTTCTGAGAGATGTACTGTGAAGGRAAAAGAAGCAAAGGAAAAATATAGAAACATAGAAACTTGTTGTCTCAACTCAAGGGTCATCAGACACTAAACCAGGCTGTTCAGAGAAGCTGGGGACTCTGTACTTGGGGATATTCAGAACTTCAGTGGACAGACACTTAAGTTATTTGCTGCAGCTGGGAATAATTTGAGTAGGGATTGGGAGTAGATCATCCCTGAAGATCCAACCCACATGGTACTGTGATGAAGAACAGGGCAAGAGAAGAATTTAAGYTAATGAAGTACAAGAAATTCTCTTGCCCTGGTCTGGATAAGAGAGAATGGATGTTGTTGTGCAGGTCTTCTTTTAAATTCAATTTTTGTTGATCATCATTTATTATCTTCAATTGTCATCCTYTGACTTAACACCAGGATATGAAGCTAAGACTCTTCACAAATAAGGTGTTCTTTAAAGCTGTTGTACGCATTCAGAGCATGAGTCTGATCCAAAATCTGCATAATTTTTYAAGGAACTCAAGGTTATTTATAAGTCATTCACATGAGTGGTTCTGTGATTAGTTGCAGTTTGCATCAGGCAAGTTCAATACTGCACTATGGAGATTCATAAATATTGGTAGATCCCAAACCTGCAGATATACTGCCTTTTAATCGTTAATATTATTGTTACTGTCCTATTTTATATACATTTTTTTATAGAAGCAAAGCATTTGGAATGGTTTCACAAATGTGATAATAATGCAGCAGTCTGAGACTGGTTTTGTTTTTCACTAATAACACACAGTCATTTTCTATTACTGCTAGTTCAGACACGCTGTTATTTAAAGAGTATTAAATAGTGCTATATTCAGAGACCACTGAAAAAAATGCTTTTAAAACAATTTTAGGTCAAATACATTTGACATTTAACTTCTGTTACTTCCAGATGCAATGGAGATGCTCTACCAGCTTTAAAAGGGTAATTGTATTTTTAAAATTTATTTATAACTATTTTATTTTTGGAATGTATGTTTTATTCATCAGTAGATTTTTCATTAGTCACAAATGAATTGGTATAATAGCATAGGCAGAACATTGGCTGGGTTTTTACTATTTGCATATTGTAGATACTTTTCATTTCTTTAATATTATGACAGAGGGAATGTTCCAAGAAATTTTGGCACATTTCCTAAGTTGCCAAATGCTGCAGTTGTATTTTAGTTCATGGACTGAGCTTGCTTTCAAATATCATTTCCTCAGAGTTATAATGAGAGTTTCTTAATGGAACATTTTGTACCTACAAAGAGATTGGTTCAAATTTTCTTTTTTATGTATTTTTTGCTATTCTAATTTGATAGTGCTATAGATATAACATTACTATTTTTAATGTACTTGCATTTGTTCACATGGGAGTTTCAGTTCTCTTACCTAAGCTTCACCCAAGGAGAACTGTGGTGTTCCTCAGTTCCTCCCTTTCTCTTCCAGTACTATTTAGGTAGTATGCTTTAATATGCAGAAAGTTTTATATGACACCACAGAAAAAAGCTCAGTTGATTGATTTTTTTTTTGTTTGTTTGTTTGTTTTTGTCTACTTATTTATTTTTTTTCTTTTGAGTGTTTTCAGGCACCCTAGTTGTGAGGTCAATGGTTTCCCCCAAGATTYAGCAGTTTTATGAAATATGTTGAACATAGTTTAGAGGTCACTCTCCAGCTAGGAGGTAACAGCAGTTTGCTTTTTATGCTCCTTGATGTAAAGTCTTTGCTAAAAGAAGAGAGAATGGTATTTCTTTTGGGTACATTTTAATATTTAAAAGAGAAAATGATTTAATATTTCAAACATCCTCAGTGCTGTGAACTTGTGAATATATAGGGGAAAAATTAGGAAAAACATGTAGTCAATATAACTTTGGTACTTGAAAAGATAATAAAGCCATTTGTAAGCACACCAAGAATGAAGAAGTAACAGACAGCATTGATTTGTTAAGAACAAATTATGTCAGATCAATCTAATGTTTTTTCTCAGTATTGTGCATGAGAGAGGTTGTGACCATAATGAAATATTTTTGTACATATTGTCTTATGTCTTTTTCTAAACACAGAGGGAAATCCATTTTGCTAAGCAAGGKTAGCTCTTGTGTCCTTGTCAGTCTTAGGCTTCACTTTTCTTTACAGATTAGAGTCAGGAATAAGGAATTAAATATTTTAGTTTATGCAGGTAGGTGTGTGAACCTGAGGACCACTAAACACAGTTACAGAAGCATCCTGTGCTGTGTAACTGTGCTGTGTTCTGTGAAAAATTCCCAATGTTAAATAGCCTTTAAAGCATCTGATTTCATAGTTGAGCAATTTCACAATGGGTTGCTGCATAAAGAGCGGAAACATATATTCAAGATATTTTTAAAGATTTTACTATTATGTTACTGGCGAGCMTTTAATGCTTGGAGAATTGAAATAAAGCCTTTAAAGAACATAAAAAACACCACCAAAATATAATAGGTATTGTTACTGAAATTGTGAAAATTAGGGATTTAGAGAAACATTTGCTTTCTGCTTTGGAATAACAACCTCTTATACAGGAAAATGATATGTGGTATGGATTTTCCCTCAGTTCGCTAAAGATATTTTCAGAAGACATGATTTTATAGTCTATGAGTTGGTAATGCTGCCTTTAGGTACTAAAATGCAATAAATATATACACWATAAACATATATACCAGCTTGCTGAATTACACCTATTAGGGATAAGAGAGTCTTCTCCTCAAAGGCTATCTTTAGCAACATATAAAACAAGGCCTCCCAAAGCTGAATATTTCATCTTAATAAACTGAGCAATTGTAGAGAAAAATATGTGTAACTGTACATAATGCTTTCCAGAAAGGTGGAGAAGGCTCTATAGCAAACTCTGAARCTGGATTTCCCAAGCTGTGGGGTAGATTCCATCACAGCAGGATTACAGCCTGGAAAGAACAAGGTCTGCTCATAGGAGTATAACACATAAAGCAAAGTTTGTACAGAACAGGGCTAAAAGTTGAATTCATTGTTTCAAATACTGAATTTCATGACCTAATTTGCCCCATATCATCTTCTGCATTGATCTGTTCCATCTCYCAGATGGGTATTTTTCCTAAATTTCTGAGTGTATCATGAATACATTTTATTTCTGACACCAGGAGTGTTTCTTTTCTATAACACTGTGATCCTCCCCTTTTGAGTTTGTTAACTGCTGCTGTTCAGTCTGTCTGCATTCCAGTTTTGCTTATTTTCTGTGAYATGGCAGTAGAATGGAATTAATCTAATTGCACCAAACTCTTCAGAACACTGTTTACTCAGTTTCCAAAAAGAGCTGTTTGACTGAATTTCACTTTGGGGAGTGAGACAACAAGAGAGAGGGTTGTAGTTCAAAGTGTTAATTGGAGAACCTGAGCTTTAAGATTAATTTATTGTGATTGTTTCTGAGATCAGTCAAAAAATTGGTTAATGTCTGCATCCAATGGTAAGCTAGCAGCTTAAAATAGGAAAAAAAGTTAAAGAGTATAGGGGTGAGTAAGATGCTCAGGTTGTTTGTATTACTTTTATTTGTCATTACACTATAACTTGAAATTCATAACACTGAGATCCTTATGGTTTAACTATGTTAGTGACTGTCACTGAGAGCTTTTGGATAAATAGCAGCCTCCGGAAGACAAGAGAAGGGCAAATCCAGTGCCCATTTCCTAAAACAGGAGGAGACATAGTAGGGAACTACAGCATTTTAGTTTCTGGAGAAAATATCAGGTGAATGATTAAATTACTTGGAAGCAGTTGGGAATGAGATTGAAAAATGGACTAATTAGTAACAAGTTATGTTAAATCAATTTTTCTTTGGAAAAGGTGACAGATCTTGTAATTAGTGGATGAAGTGCATCTTGATCTAAATGCACATCTTTTTTTGCTGGTGTTTTTCCTCTTTCCTTTTTTGTGTCTTSTGTCTTAGGCTAGAGAACACAAGTATTTATTATAGAAAAAGCAATTTTGAGGAGTCTTGTGGAGGTAAACACATAGCAAAACCAGTGTTTGCTAAAAGCTTAAATGATGAGGTTCACAGAATCAGTTATGGATATATCTAATGCCATTTGGATAACACACTTTGTGGAGTACAGTGATYACTTGATGTGTCCTTTACAAAGCTGTGTGACAGGATTAGTTCAGGTAGGCTGCATTTTTGCTAATTTCTGGCTGCGGTCCCATTGAAAACCTGTTGAGTATACTTCCACCATTTTTATTAAGCTGGTAACTAGTAAGAAACAAATTCCTTTGGGAGCAAAGTGCTATTAAACTGAGTAGTGAGCCTCCATGGGGTAATTTAGTATCTTCTCAAGCGCTGTGGGTGAGAGTAAGATGCCTTTCTATGTGACTTTTGTAAACCCCCCCCAGATTATGCCTGGTAGTGGTGGACATGAGAGCAATATCTTGTTGCTCCCATAACTGATGATTTTAATACTTTCTTCCATCCCTGTGGGTTCTTTTTTTTTTTTCCCCTGCAGCTATTGGGGTACTGAATGCTCCCATGGCGAGAGATGGTCACTGTTAGATGTGACTTGTGGAGAAAAATCTCTGCTGCCCTTATGACTTTTTTGTCCTTTTGGGGAAGGAACTCAGGGATGAAATTAAGTGTTTCACTTAGTAGTGACAGAGAGGCACTCTAGACCTTGCACAGGCAATTGGTGGAGAATTTGAAAAAGGACAAAAACCCCCTACAAACACCAGAATTCACAAAGAACAGCACTCACCTCTCCTTTAGGCTCTCTGCAATCTCTTTTGCCTGCCTTTTCCCTTGATGAGCATATGTGATGAAGTAAAATCTCTCTCTTCTTTAAACTGAATAAAGAAGTAATTTTACAAGTCATCTGGTTGACTGTGTGAGTTCAGCAGATGAAGAAAATAGAACTGGTGATGAAATCAAATAAATTGGCCCCAGATAATGAAATAAGCWTAAAAAAAATCGAGGTGAATGATTTTCAGTATTGTACACCCAACATTAAGAGTTKACATCTGTCAGTAATGTTTTTAGCTGAAAGTATTTTCAGTTGTTTGAGGAAGCCTGTTTTTAAACAACCCWCACTTGCAGAAAACACAGATTAAAGAATATTTTAAGAATCTTTTATCACAGTATTTGAAAGGATTTTTTTTGTTTTACTTCTGCAGTACCTGCTTCACTGTTGCTTACAGCAGTAAGTTATTTAATGTGGCTCTTTATACGGGACATATAAATCACAGTTGTTATTGTGTAAGTGAGCAGACATATTTATCTTGGTCCATAATGCTGTTCCAAAAATTTAATTTCAATGAATGTACAGTAATATCATGAATTTGTTCGGATGAAAGGAAGCAGCGGACTGTGGAAAAGTCCCATAAATTAACCTAGCTGAATTCTGTTGTATTCAAAAGTGCAGGAAATCCAACTGATACTAACCACAGGATCCTGTGGAGATTAGTGTACACAATTAAATGTTGGCAACAGGGTATCCATGGGAACAGCTATTRCCTTCATATGGTGGTATGCAAATTATTTCCTACTTTCACCATGAAGTTTCACTCTACCTTCATAGAAAAATAAGTAAACAACTCAAGAGTTGTAATATAAGTTGGGACGTGGTATTTTTGTACAGACAATGTTTTGTTCTAGTTCTTTTTGCCTCACTGAAAAAAAGACTGTGGCTTCCACCATTAGATTTGTAGATTTATTCCCGTGTGAAGTCTGATCTGCAACGTCAGTGGAGCTCCTCTCCTTAGTGTGGGAACCACTGGTTTTCTCCTTTCAGTAGGAAGCAGTCAGTGGTGCAAAGGYCTGTGAGCAGGGGCAATTTCATGTGGAGAGAAATTAGTGAATTGTCTTTTATTTTCATTARATTAGAGTAGCCCCAGGTATTTGAATTGTGTTAATATAAGCACRTTCACCTTTGGCAACCTTGATATTTTTGAAACTAAGTTGAAATTGTTGAAATTAATATAATATTTCATTTTCTGCTCAGATTTTAATCTCTGCTTGTCTCTTGATTTTAGGGAAGCAGATATTTAGCAGCAAAACAGAATTTAGGATCAGTGCACTGAAGTTCCACCCTACAGAGTCAAATGTTTTCATTTGTGGAGGGTTCAGCCCTGAAGTTAAAGCATGGGATATAAGGACTTCTAAGGTAAAGGAAATCTTTTTTATCCTTCTCTTTCAGTGTTTTCTATGTTGTGTATGCTGTGTGTTACTAAGCTGCTGGATGTACCTACTGGTCTTGCAATGAAATGTTATTGTGATCTATTTTGCATTTGTCATTGATTGTATTCCTATTTGTCAGTATGAACCTCTGTAATGTGTTTTAAGTGCTATGAGGAATACTGTACACAAAAATATTTTTTCTTTCTGTAGATATAAGTAACATCTATTTGAATTAAACAAAGCCAATAGCTCACCTGAGGATTGTGAAAAGCAGTTGTGTACTAGGAAGCAGTACAGCTAATTTACTCTTCCAGCTGTTATATGTGAGTCAGGATGTGTGTGTAGAGAAACCTTTTGTACAGAAATGTGGAGCAATTTTTGTTTATGAAGGGCCACAGAGGTGTGAAATGCCTCTGCTTTTACTTTATCATGAACCACAGAGAGCAATGTGCTCCCAGTTGCCATTCAGAGCTCAGGTAAGACCGGAGCTGTGAGCAACATCCTCATGCACAGAACAGTTCAAAGAGAAGCAGGGACTGTAAAGTGAGTAGTTCTTTGTTTTYCTTTTAATTTCTCTACGGGGAGATCCTACTCATCATCGTTGGCCATCTGTTTGCTCTTGAGGATGGCAGAAGGGACCTGAAAAAGATAAGTTAGCATAGCCCAACCTTGTCTCTGTGATGTACTAAGAATAGTAGGTGAGAGATGTAGGGAGCTGCATTTCAGGTGTCAGGGCTCTAACAGGAGAGCTCTGAGATCATTGTGGGAGTTGCTCTGTTGAGGAACAGAATATTCCTGTGCAATTAACAATCGAGTTCCTGTGCTGCAGTTGCATTTGTCACTGATGTTTGAGGAAGGAATTTAATTATATAGGATCTCTACCAAATGAATAAGTTCTTAAAAGAAAAACATTAATAAATACTTATTGAGACTGCCACATCTGAGGCCACTCTGCAAATAAATTTGTTGTGAGCTTCAGAATTAGCCTGTTAGTGTGAAAATCTTTGTAAAAGCTGCCGATGGGGTTTATTGCATCCATCATACTTGTATGATGGCTGGTTTTCCTTGGAAGGGATGTGAAGAGATACTCAAAGCACAGGTCTGGGAAGAAAGATGATTCTAGTTTTAAATTGCACAATGTAAATGCCTTTGATAACAAATACCTATGTAACTTTTAAAAATGTAACTTTTAAAAATGTGATTTTCCATTGAAACTGTTCATGGCAGGGAACAGAAAACGACAGACTAATAGAAGTCTTTTCTCCTGAAGAGCAGGATCAGTGGTTTCATAGCATGGAAAYGAAGTAGAGAATACAGTTTTTCTTTTTTGAGATCCTCGTAACAGGAGACCTTAATTGTAGGGAGGAGAGGAGGTGCAGTCTGAATACTGAATACTTCACTGTCCTTTTTAACGTAGAGAACCAGTTGTGTGTTATGGTATGCTGAACTGCCTTTAAAAGGTGCTTCAGGAACTAAGAGAGTACCATCTTTTTAAGGCTTAAAGATTGTTGATTGTTATGTCAAATTTGAGGTCTTTGATTGTAGTCAAGGAGAAGATGGCAGATGTAGATGACAAGACATTATTTCAGAGATTTTTCTGATGTGGTCCAACAATATTTTCTGGAAATTATACTGTAGTTATAGACAAAATCAAGTGATAACGTGGCTGGGTACAAAGCCAGAGACATTCTTTCACTCCATGTTGTTTCTATATGATGAATTTTGCATCTCTGCATATCTTTGAGYGACTATCTCCGAGAATCTGTGAAGATGATTCTTCTATAGATTTGAAGTCARTTGTGATTGATGAGTATGGTCATGCCAAAATTGGCAATACCTCCAGCCTGTGTGTGTCTAGAGTGCCCAGTCTGTCCAGATGGAAGATGATAACTGATTCTGTTCTATAGTAACAAGTGCCTCAAGTCACATGTTGCAAAAAWGTGCCTGTCTGCACATGTTGTATATGGTTGTGGAGGAATATGACAGAAATTGTTCACAGGTAGGARACAATCTCAAATACTGATAATGGAGAAGGCACTTCAGTTTTAAGGAAACGGAAGATTTGTTTACTACGGATATTTACAATCCAAGACTTTTGTTTGAATAAGACTTTTTTTTTCAGCAAATCTGATGCTAGAGATTGTGATGACAAGATCTGAAGACTATGAAAAATTGACCTTGACTCTARTAGAGCTGAGGGGCTAGATGTTAGTGCTTGTGCTAGATAAGTTAGTTCTGAGTTGTTTGCTGAATCTGTTGCTCTCCTGTTGTCAGCAGCTCTGCTAATCCCCAATATTTTAGTTTTATCTTTGAACAGTGTTATAGTGTCACTGAGACAAATGGTTGGAAAATGCTGTTCTTGACTCTTTTTTCCCCTTGTGAATTGTCAGCGTTTCAATAGTAACAATGTTCAATGCTTTCCCTTGGCACCAGACAAGGGATCAAACAGGATTGTATTCCAAGCGATGAAAACAATAGATGTGTTTGTTTGTTAAAGCACCTYCTTCCTTTTAGGTTCTAAATTCTGATGGTGCCTCAGTTTAACCACAGCTAAACCATCAATTGCTGTGTCTGGCAAACCTGATTGTAGTTCAGATCTGCTTAAATGAGAGCATTCATTTAAGAGCAGTTCAGAGAGCAGTTCCTTGTGAACAGGAGCAGGCATGGAACAGCACATGGTGCTTAGCCTGGACAGAGGCTGCAAAGCAGCACCCCAGGCTGTGAGTGCCAAATATTGCCAACAACATCAGCCTGATGTTCTGCAGAAGGTGCCTCCTACAGAAATGTGTGCATCTCTGTGGACAGGAGTTTGCTTTTTGGCTGTCTTGGAAAGTCTTCACAGGAAAACTCTTCCTGAAAACTGGTGGTAGAGAGAAAACATCCTTCACCAATGAGCTGCATGGAGTTTATATGAGGCAGTTACAAAGAGCAGGTGAACTTGTTGAGATGGAGGTTAGTCTCACCTGTGCATCATTACTGCAAAATAGTTACATTTCAAACTCTTGGCACAGAACCACGTATTTATTAGGCGTGAATTATCAGTGTCATCAGCATGTCATGTCTGCTGGTCCCTAGTCTGGGATTTCAATGGATTCTTCAGATATTTCTGCTTTCAGTTTATATCGTTATCTTTGTTCGCGTATCTTTTTCATCTTACACAGTTATGACCATAGTTAAAACTGGATAGTGTCCTGGCCAATCTTTTGAAATTTATCCTGTTCTGATGAATGGCATTTTCTCTTAACTGAAATAGATGTCTGAGGTCTCTTGCCACTTTTTTTTTCAGTTTTGACTCAAACAACCTTTCTATCTTTCAAGTTCTTTCWTCCTAATTCATTACAAGATTTTCCTGTTTTGCCTGTTCTTTCAAGTGTGTTAACCTGTCATTCAGCTTGAAATGATGTGTGGGTGAACTAATGATTCTTTTTGCTCCTGTCATCATAGTCCTGATAGCCTTTTCAGGCTTTGCAGCATATTTTGTCAATAGARTGAACACCCTAAATCCAGCATCTGAATCTTGTTATTCATTGCACATTGAAAACTCAATTTCAGCATTTGCTGGTAATTCAATTTCAGGGGTCATTCTTTAGGATGTACTCCTGTGTTTTAGCAAGCTGTCCTCTTGCACATTTTGAAATTAACTGTGAGGCAAAATGATAATTGTATAACAGGAAATAGGGGGATTTTTCATGGAAATTCGGAGCAAAACATTAAGCATAACAGAGATAGAGAGAATTAGAAATTGCAAAAATATTGTCCAATTACACACACATGCAGGAATTTAAATGGGCTGTTTTATGCCAGTGTGCCACATTGATGCTTTCTGCTGATAGGAAATTATATAGATAGTGGTGCTTAAAAAAATTAATACTTCTGACCGGGACCATGAATTTATGAGCATTAATTACTAGTGTTTATTCATGACTGGAATGTGATACAAAAATTGGATTTCCAAGTCCCAGAGAAAATGTATCAAGCTGGTTTGAAGCAGCCTTTGAGCTACTGAAACACTGAGAAATTTTAGGGGAGCTAAAAGCATCCCTGCTTTACACAATGCAGACCTTGCTGATGTGTGCAAATGAATCTTTTCCATTCGGTTTGACAGCTCACTCAGGRTACAAGGGAAATGAGCGAGTGGCTGTGTGGTATTTAGTTGCTGGCTGGTTTTAAACCACAACAGAAATGTGCAGTAGGCTATTGATCAGAGAGGCAGATATATATTAAATAAAAGGAGGAATGTTGAAAGACATTTATTGCTATCCCTGCTCTGTTGAGCAAATAGGCAAAATGGTTTCACATGTAGCAYTGGGTATTAAGCAAGACAAAGAAAGAAAGAACAATAAAGGAGTTTAAATCTTTGAGATAAAGCTAAGCAATATCCTTCAGAGAGTGAATGAGTGGAACAGCTTGTTAACTGCTCAGTGAAATGTAAAGTATACAGGCATCTCAAAATTACAGAGACAAGTAATCAAAGCCTGAAACAAAAATTAAAGAGGCAGCTGAATAGCCTGTGGAGATTTATTATAGTGGTATTTCTTTCTGTTTGTGTTAAACCTAGTTTTGTCTCTCTGGTAAAGAGGTTATTTTGGAGATCTTATATTACTGTATAACAGATTGATTAAATTTATGAAAAATTTGGAGAATGTTTATAGAGACTTTATGAAAAGAGCAGAAAACTTAAGTTGAAGTGAGTTGCTCTGTTAAAAAAAAACAAGTGAGTTGCTCTGTTAAAAAAGCAAAGAATCTGCAGTGTTAACCAAGGAGAGAACATCATACTGAACAGCCCCCATGGGATCTTTGGACCTCAGAGCTGAACCTAGATAAACCCTGGAAAACCATGGAAATAGGAATGTGCAATAACCCAAGACCTTAAAGTAGTTATGTATTTTAGAAATATTTCCTTTCTCTGAGCTGTGGAAGAATTTCTTAAAATGTTCAGCACAAGCCAGCACAGTCACCCTTCATTTTGGCTAATCTACATTACCT